GTGAGGATTTTAAAAAAACCTTTGCTCCTAATTTACTGTGAAGAATTTTATTACATTTGGTGTTAAGTGGACTCATTAAAAGTGCCCCTTTTCTGCTACCATTACCCTGGGATAGTAAAAGACAACCCGAAAATACCCGAGGCCCAGTTCAGCCATGGGGTCCCCAGGGTGGAAGGGAGGTAAACTGTCTACTAGTTGAACCTCTGCCTGACCCTTCAGCCTTTGCCCTGCGTGGCCGCTGGGAGGTCAGGCAGCCTCTGCCTGTGCAGCCCATGGCCAGGAGCTGACTGTGTGAGGCACCCCCTCTGGTGTCCCAGTCGGAACATCACTAACTTCTCTGGGCGGCAGGACAAAGGCGCATTTGATGCCGAGAGCTGGGCTTTCAGGAGTCCTGAGTGCCCTCCTTCCTAACCGCCCTGTCCTTTCAACCCAGACACCTCATACCCGCAGCAGGCGCTCACCATTGTCACACTGCACTCTGGAGTCTGGTCCTCTTTCTCTCTTGTGAAGTGGCCCAAGGAAATACTAGGACAGTTGGCTATCCACGCCCCTACCTGGAGCAGAATCGGCGCACACGTCCGAGCGCTTCTGATCAGCTGCCCGGAGAATGAGAAGCAGCTTCTGCACCTCGTTTTCTGTGGCTTAAAGACGTTCTAAATGAGCACAGACCCTTGTCTTGTAGGGAAAAGAAGGGAACCCTCAGGCTGGTACTTGGGGAGTGTCCAGGGAGGATGAAGCCATCCTGGCACACGCCCTGGTAGCTAGGGCGGGTGGATGCCCAGTGCCAGGCTCTGAGATCACTGCAGTGGCCGAGCACACAGCTGCCACCTGAACTGCCATCTGTCGCTGCCTCTAGAGTCACTCTGAGCCCAGGAGGCCTCAGAAAGAAAGCGGACGTGATGGCATTCCCGATACAAAAACACCCACCAAAGCACTGGACATAAAGGCACTTTATGGAGTGTCTCGAAGGCTTATCATCTTCCACCGTGGACACTGTGAACATTTGTTGGGCGAGTTTTATTCCTGGTGACGGGTAGAATCTCCGTGAAGACTTAGAAACACGCCTCGACATGGGTGCTCCGAGAGCCCGGGACAATTCTGAGAGTTCGTGAGATCCGTCCAGCGTCAGCAGGGCCTTCGTTCCAGGGTCTCTCTGATCACAGCTCCCATTTCCCACCCCCATGGTGCCCTCCACCCCACCCCCCCCAAAAAAACAGGAAATGACCCAAGAAAGACAGACCTCGTTGGAGGTTAAAGGTGGCTGGCCCCCAACTCCAACATGAGGTCTGTGGGACAGTAAACATAGAAGCAGTGTTGGGCTTTTTTGGTTTGTTTTCTTTTTTCCCCCACGGAGAGCATGCCTGCATTCTACAAAGTTATGCTGGAAGGCGGGCTTGTCAGTTAGCACATCTGGGTGTTAGGCTAAAGTTCTTCCTCCGCTTTACGAAGACTTCCATCGGATTAAAGAAAACACGGCGTGGGCCACGTACAGCAGCGTGGCTACGTATGAAAACACCTGAAACCAAGACGAATGACCATTAGCGGGCAGGCTGGGGACAGGGCAAGGAGTGGGCTGTGCACCAGGCGGCTGCTCACGCTCGTTCAGGGCGACAGACCCGCCCTGTGCGGCCAGCCACTGCTTCCCATCACTCACGTGGCACTTCCTTGCTGAGCCCAGATGTGGCCCCAGAATGCTTTCAGCACAGAGCTCCAGCTGGCCAGCCCATCCACTGGACTGGGCGTGCAAGGTCAGCTATCTACCTTCTTGCCCGATCATGTGGGCGCCACCATCTAGAAATGGGGCCTCAGAAAAAGAGGATCCACTACTCTCCATGGAACACTTCCCTCCTCCACACCGGCAGGACCAGAGCCCACCAACTGCGGCCCCAGCAGCCTCTGCTGAGAAATAGGAACATGAGGGTTTGTTGGCTCTGGTGAAGGTCCCGATGATGCCTGGACAACTCAGACCCCAGCAGGATTTTCTTCTACGACTCTTCATGTCACAGGCCTGGGTGAGGGGCCAGGCTCACAGGAAGTGAGGGGCAGGCACCCAGAGGAGGGATTTTGAGCTTTTGCACAAAAGGGGGTGCTTACTGAGAGAGCTGCTGGAAGACCCAGCCAGCCGCTCTGGCGCTGGGAAGGAAGGCCTGGAAATATGGCTATTGGTCGCTTGATGGCTGTCACACCCCTGACTTTCCCCCTGGGCCCCCTGTACTCCCATCACCCCACTCTGGTGGCTGGCCTCCCTAAAAGCTGCCTGCCCTCAAGTCAACTATCTGCACCTGGTTTTGTGACCTTGGGCTCAGGGTCGAGAGTTTCCAAGCCAGGCACAGCATTTAGGGTGGCCACGCTTCCGTGACTTTGGAAAATGCCCATTAACAGCGGCGGCACCGTGCTGCTCTGTCCCCTACTCCACACATGGGCGAACCCTTCAGTCTCGTTGGCCAGGGGCGATGAGTAAGCCGAGTTACTTAATAACAAACATAAGAGAACTCATCCGGGGACTCCCAAGTCCCCTGTCTGGAAGGAGCAGTCACACATGTCTGCGCAGCTCCCTAAGAAGACCTCCCCCACCAGCAGGGGGCAGTTCCCCGTCTGGGCAATTCCAGACCCATGAGAACCCTCCACAGAAACTCCTCAGAAGTTCCCACGGGAACAGGAAACAAGCTCCCGGGGCCCTGGTTCTCTCCCGTGACCTGGCGTGGTAACAGTGCCTACATCCAAGGGGCTGGGAGGGTCGAAGGAGAGTGTTCCCGGGGGACTCCCAGGCCGGACACTCGGCTGTCATGTCTCTCCCACCTGCCCTCCGCGAAGGCCGGGCACACGGCCCTGGGCCAGCCCGGGCCTTGGCAGCGCAACACTGACTGATGGCGAGGCCAGCCTTGGGCCATCACTGCCCTTCTCGGGCTTTGCTTCTTCAGAAAGGAGGGGAAGGTGTGGTTCATTCAAAGTTAGTGAACTGAAACAATAGAAAGGGGGCCTGTGTGGGGGCGGGGGTGGGGGGGGGAGGGAGGCTGCGAAGGCGGAGGCTGGCGGACTCACCACAGCGGAGATGTTCTCGTGGTACTGCCTGTAGGTGTAGCCCTCGTACATCTGGATGGTGGCCAGCGCTTCCAGGACGGAGGCGCTGAGGTAAAACAGGGCGGCGGTGCAGTGGTAGGCTGCGTCCTGTGGGGTCAGAGAGGTGGGGCCCGGCGTGGATGTGAGGGACAGTCCCCGTCTGTCCTCACCCGGCCTGGCTTCGGTCCCCCTTACCCTCCCATCACCACCCCCGCCGGTGCCCTCCTCACAAACTAATCGGTGCTTCCCAGCAGAGATTTCTCTCTCTGGTTTGGGGCCAGAGCAAGGGCTTCCATGAAGAAAGGACGCTGTTTTCCCCTGAGGTGGGACCAAGAAGGGGGGGCGGGGCACAAGAGCAGCTCGGCATTTATTTAATCGGTGGAAATGGCTCTGGACCTGAGCAGTTCCCAGTCCCAGGGAGGATGTGGCCTTGGTGGCCAGCGCAGGGCGAGAGGCCCAGGCAAATCCGCACCCGCTTCAGGGCAGGTAACGGCATGTTCTCCAGTGTTACCCTCTCCATGGGCCTCGAGGCAGAATTTATGCGGATGGAGACCACAGGTCATCTCCCGCCCCCTTCCATGTCCCTCGCTGGCAACCCTGCTGGAGGAGGCATGACTGGGAGCTGGGCAATAAGCATGGCCTCACATCGGGCAGCCAAGGCCAACGCCAAGGGCAAGGTGGAAGCCAGCCCTCCGGAGGAAGGAGGAGCCTCGAGGACCTGGCCGGTGCCGGCAGTGAGGGCAGGGGTGGGCTGCTGGGTTTCCGTGAAGAAGACCGCCCGGCGGCAGGGAGCCCTGGCTGCCTGGACAGCTTGAACTTGGAACATGGGTGGGCCACGTCTACAGGGCAGCCTCGCCCAGCACGGGAAAAGCCCGCCTCCCGGGAAGAGGGTCCAACACTGCTATCCCCCCTCCCCTCCCAGACATCCCAGGCTGGGACTCACCAGGGTGACCCAGGAAGCCTCCCCTCCGTGGGCACCGATGATGTACAGGACGAGCAGGGTAGTGGTGGCCACGAAGCAGAACACAGACACGAACATCACCCATCCCTGGACCAGTGGCATGGGCACCAGTGACGAGGCGATCAGAATCCACACCAGGCCCCCGAAGACCTGCAGAGGGAGCGCGGGAGGGAGGGGTGAGCATGGGGCTGGGGAGGGCCAGACCCAGAGGTCACGCTGGGCAGGAAACGGAAGGGAGGCAGAGAGCACGGGGACACTGTCCTCATGGGGAAGACTCTCATCCCTTTGAGGCTCGGATCACCCCTTCCCGTCTCGCCAATCCCCTGCCTGATTGCCTTTTCCATTTTTAAAAATACAATTCAGAGTTTCAATTTGATAAATGCTTATATCACATTTATATACCAGGCACTGTCCTGAAAATATTAACTCAGGCCCTGGCCGGTGTGGCTCGGTTGGTAGAAGTGTTGCTCAGTCCACTGAAAGGTTGGAGGTTCGATTTCCGGTCAGGACACATAGGTTTCAGGTTTGATCCTCAGCCCTGGTTGGGGAGCATGCGGGAGGCAACCAATCGATGTTTCCCTCTCTCCCCTTCTGTCTAAAAAATAATCAATGAAAATGTCCTCAGGTGAGGATTAAAAATATATATATAAAATCTTAGTTAATCCTCACAACAACCATATGAGTGAGGTACTGACCCATCTGTCAGAAATTGAGGTACATAGAAGTAGGTAATGTATCATCTAGCTTATCATTAGAAGGGTTGTTCTTTATTCTGAGGTTATATCCTTCCTAGTATTTTGATATTAAAATATCCTTTCCTTTATGAAATGGTAGTGACCAGCAAAATAAACTAGTCACCCTGTGTCATTAGCGTTTTGTTTTGTTTTTTGAAATTTGACCCCTGAGATTCCCAAGTCCGGGAGGTGCGCTGACACCTGGAGTCCAGCTGGAGTGGAGAGGGCCCAGGTCAGCCCAGTCTCCCCAGGTGGCCTAGGACAGGCCTGGGAGAAACACTGCCCATTGTTACCCACAAGACACCCCCGTGATGTCCAGAGTCAGTGAGCCCATGTTTTCAAAGAGGAGCGTGAGGACAGACATGGGGCTCAGTGACGCCCCTCAGTGCCACTGTTCCACGTTTCGAGGACGCGCTCGCGTGAATCCTTTGAGATTTTCTTCCCTCTCCTCGTCCCCCTTCATCCCAGTGAAATCAGCTCAGCCTCACCCCTGCCCCACCCAGTCAAGGCCTATACTTGGAGCTGGAGATGGGTGGGCATGGCTTTGCAGTCAAAGGTTCCCAGGTGCTGGGGTGCATGGCACTGTTTTCCTAAACGTCTGCTCCCAGCCCTATGTGCCCTGTGGTCTGAACTCATGCGGTCCCTGCTCCCACCTGCTGGGTAAGAGAGCCCATGGTCCTCATGCGTGTTCTTGGCCACTGAGCTGAGAAACACCAGGAGAGAATCACATTTGATGGAAAAGCCAGTGCAGTGAAGAGTCTGGATTTATCAAAACCAGGCCAGGCCTAATGCATCAGATATGGGCCTCTGTGCCCAGAAAGCCTTCTTATTGATGCATCTGAGCTGCCTGAGGCCCGTGACAGAGCCAGTAGGACACAGGTACACCTTACAATAACGAGCAAAATCAATTAACTACAAACCCTTGGGCAGCCATAGAACAAGATGTGTGTGCAGATTCCACCCACGGTGGCCTTTAGGATCAAGCAGATGGCTCGGCCTTTTCCATATGGGCACTGACAAAGGGACACGAGCGTGCTGATAGGCAGGCAGGACATGGATTTAGGAGGCGAGAGAGAGTGGCATGGAGAGGAGGAGGAGGGGGGGTCAGTGCCTGGCTGGTTGGCAGAGGCAAGGGTCTAGGATACTCCTCTCCTGAGCATCCCCTGCTGGTCACCTGGTGACGATGCCAGGGGGACCAGACCTGTGCAAGTCAGTTCCCCAGGCACATGCCCTAGGGAGCCTGCACTTCTCTTTGGCAGCACCGAGCCCCAAACAGGTGTATCCCATTAGGTACACAATGGCACTTTGCCGGACCAGGTGGTGGAGAGGATGCGGTCCCTTGCTCACAGCTAACTCCTGGGTGTGGGACACCTGTCTAGCCATGCATCAGTGTCTGAGTTAGTGAACTGGCCTCAGGGTCCTGTTGGATGGGTGTGGCTGAACTAGAGCCACGTGTGAGTCAATCCCAAAAGAAGAGCTTGGGGTGTCCATGGAGGGGGTGCACTCGTGATGGGGCCTGTGTGGGGCCCATGGGGGGTGCACTCGTGATGGGGCCTGTGTGGGGCCCATGGGGGGGTGCACTCGTGATGGGACCTGTGTGGGGCTCATGGACGGGGTGCACTCGTGATGGGACCTGTGTGGGGCCCGTGGGGGGGGGTGCACTCGTGATGGG